CCATCCTAGCTGTGTTAGTAGCTTGATGATGAAGTTTAACTGTAGTCTGAGACGCTGTGGATCTGGATCCACTTGTATCCCGTCGTCGAGGTAGAATGCACTGCGTAGACCTTGACGATGTAGGTAAGAGACGATAGGTTTCGTCACTCTTGTGAATAACCAGGGGGCCGATGAGATTCCGGAAGGTAGTACTTTCCATTGGTAATGCAGCCCGTCTAGTGTAAACCGAAGGTATTTCCTGGAGTCGGGATGTATTGGGATGTGTAGATATGCGTCTTGCAGATCTATGCTGGCCATGTTGTCTCTGGGACGAATTAAGTGCCGTAGTTGTGGTAAGTGTATCATGCGAAACGCTGACGGTTTGTGTAGATAGTCTCTGTTGAACGTGCTCATATTGTAGATGAGACGAAACTTTTCTTTGGAATTTTTCTTGGGCACTAGGAAAACTGGGGAGTAGAAGCCTGGTTCGATGTTTACTTGGTCCAGTACTTCTATGGCCTGCTTGGTTAGGAGTGTTGATACCGCTTCTCTCAACTTTGGTAGTTGTAGAGCCTGGAAGTCGAACCTCGGAGGGATGACTGTCAGCGGAGGCGTGGCCTGTAATTGTATGCGATATCCATGCTGTAGGATGTTGGAGACATATGGATCCTCTAGGAATCCCCAGTTTTCCCAGTGCAGTTGAAGGCGTCTACCCACTTGTGATGGTTGTACTGGAACGGCTGGGGGGTGGAAGACTCCAGACGTTCCGAACATGTCCTTCAACGTTTATAATTGCGGGAGCCTCTGGATGACCTGCCTCTTCCCGATGCTCCTCTGTAATTGCCGTATGGGCGGCGAAAAGACTCTTTCGCTCCTCTTACACTAGCCATCTTCCTGTCCCGTGCTCTCTGTAGCCCGGAGAACTTCGATCTGCCTGAGTACCTCTGCGAAGTTTGTCTGATGACTTAATCATAAGTACCTCTCTTGAGTCTTTAGAGACTTCTTTAGAGACTTTGTCTATGTTACCATCGAAGATGGACGGAGAAGACCACGGGGGCTGTGTAAAGTGGTGCGGTGAAGTGATCACCCAAATTACAGGTGGCGAGGAGACCTTGACGACGAGCCATAGTAGAAGCTGCGGATAGTGCTGTTAAGTGATCCGTAAGGAACTGTTGGTCCTTCTTCTGCATGAGGAGGGCCGAGTAAACCATTCTATCATCCTCAGATGTAGAGTCTCTGAACTTCATGAGGAGAGCTTCATTGACTGTTCTTGATCTGTTTAACCCAAAAAACATCCTCCTTGATATGGTTTCCATCTGGGCTAACTTGCGGTCATCTATTCTGTACGTCTTGGACTTGGCATCGCTGATCATCTTATAGTTATCATCGATATCTTGAGCCTTGTAAAAGGAGTCCATGTCGTGACCTGCAAACTTGTTAGCGTTGAAATGCGGCACATGAGGTGTCTGTGATTTCGTGGCTTTACTAAAGGCTGTATCCAGATTAGCTGGTACCGCTGCTATCGGGTCAATCGGGGGTAAGGTGATTGTATCAGCATCATCTTCCTTCATAAGATATGTGTGGGCTGAGTTCTCGTTCTTAGACGAGGAGGAAAGTTCCAGACTATTCACCATCCAATATCTTATTTCTGCGTCGGAAAATACGATACCATCTTCATCTTCAGACATCAGGTCACAGATAATGTATTGATGCTCCTCCTATAGTGACTGAGGTGGAGTCCTTGATCTGTGCTAGGATCGACAAGGTGATCGATGAGGCGATCGATAAGGAGATCAGCGAGTGGAATGATGTGAACGGACTGACGAGTGGCGTCTATAAGGTGACCTTCGCGGAGACTTCCTTGGCGAACGCTGGTAGCTTGGCGAAGCTCTCGGTGATTCTCTTAAAGATCTTCTAGATGAGGATGACTTGGAGCCACTTAACCTTCGTGAAGGCCTTCGTGAAGGTTGAAAGTCTGAGTCGTAATCATGGGATGAGAGGATGTTGCTTCGCGAACGTCCTCTCTCATCAAGGTCCGACGTAGGTGATACAGACATCCTCCGTGAAGCCTTCCGTGACTGCTTAGGATCGGGGTCCTTCGTGCAGGCGGGCTGGGTCGCCCTTTGCGGAGGCTTAGAGACGGGCTGGGTCGCCCTATGCGGAGACGTGCAAACGGGCTGGGTCGCCCTACACCGAGGTATGGGGGTGGGCTGGGTCGCCCGTGGCTCTAAAGGCCTTCAAAGACCGTAGCGATCTTCCATCATTTGCATGATGTGGTTCATCAGGTCATCTGGGACGGTCTGCGCTGAAGTAGTTGCTGCCTTCTCTACGCTGGTAGCGACGGGACCCTCAGGACGATTCTCTGACATCAGTGTAGGTGCCTCAGCCTGCGTGCTAATCTGCGCTGAAGTTATAGTTGCCGACACTGGCCGCTTCTTCCGCCGTACATCTGGAATGGTGATGGGATCATCATCAACAAACAGGCCCAGCTCTGTAACGGGAACAATCTCGGCTGAGAAAGAACTGCTGGACTTCGATGATTTCCCCTGCGACGTGGATGTAGCCCTGGGGGTGCGGAGTCTGCGTTGTGACGACGTGGAAGCCCTCCTAGTCTTTGGATGCGACGACGGGATGTCCGGGGATGCAGGTCGCTTCTCGGAGGTAGCAGACTGCGTCCCACGCCTCTCTCCGAGGGTAACTCTAGCGGAACACCAGACGGGAGGGGGTCGTCTGACAACAGTTGACAGGGTAAGGGCTCTGGTGTATTAGCCATGGCTAAAATGCGTTTACGTGACCTATCTGCTGCGCGTCTCAAGACGCATAATAAATATTTATCAAAGGCAGAATTGGATAATTTAATACAATAATTGCAACGTGAAACAATAGAGCATGGCGTAGTACAACTAGGGCATATTAAATGCGGGTCAGCAGCAGAAAAACGTGATTTACAAATCGTGCAGATTTTCATCAACGCAATCTATCTGAACAAACACGGCGTCCCGTGATTAAACAGTAGAAACACGAATAAATATCAATGCATTATGTTGAAGGATACTAGCTACACCTCTATAGAAGTCTATGAGAGGTAAATAACTAAGAATAAACAAAGGATATAGTGCGTAGGGAGACACAGGCGCTCTCACATCCTGCTCACTGGGCGAAGAAGGAGAGAGTGAGGCATGTGGCGGGAGGTGGCGCCCTCGTTCCCGCCAAAAGGAGAGGGATAGAGATAACTCTTGGTGAGTACTAATTAGTGATTTTACATTGAAGGGAGCTTCAATTGGGAGATACAAGTGTTCCACTGTGTTCGCAAGAAGAAGAAGACAAGCAAAAAGCATGAGTCAGGATAAGGAAAAATAATCCTGTTTGGTAGTTATGCATTGTCTTGGGATATTCTCTGGTTCACAGAATGATTGGTAACAGCTCTATGAGACGTCGTTCCGATTTGATCACTATGAGAACTTGAGTGTTGGTTCCCCTGTATTCCACCACGCAAGGTCCTTGAACACTATATCTGTAGGCACGATGACAGAGTCTAGCTGTGCGCCTTCATGATGGCTGATATAATCTTGAAAAAATGTTAGATGCAGATGGCCTGAAAACTTGGGTTCCCATAGCTGATACCAATCTCCTACTGAGTGTTAAAAAAGGGGGAAATACGAGCATCGTTTTCTACAGCCAAGGTTGAGGCTGTGCTGTTAATGTCTTGGAAGTCCAAGGTGAGTCAAGTTGATTTAGGCCCGAGCTTTCCATCCTCCTTGGCCTGAAACCCTTTTCTGTATCCCCTTGGAATGAGACTTGCTCTTTTTTTTGCTGTCCGTGTTCTATTATGAAAACTGTCCCTTCGGTCCAACCAAACATCTCTTCGCACATGTACGGTTGTCTGTGCTATGTGATCCTGTTGTTTATGCTAAAATGTCCTCTAACTGGATCAGCTGTGTGGTCAGTGTTGACCGCATGGGTTCGTGACTTCTACTTAAACACTAGCCAAACTATCAATACACAAGCAGTCCATAAGATCAAAGTCATGGTGCATACCTAGCAACTCAGGGTATACCTTAAGTGAGGTGACAGTGGCAGCTAGTGTTTCTTGTTTCTTAGGTTCCAGCCTGACTCTCTTAGGGGGAGGAGGAAGATCATGGATGTTGCTCTTATCTTTGGATAATGCTGAAATTTGCCAGACCTTGTATCAAATCTCCAAGATTTCCTCAGAAACAAACTTGTGTTTAATGGCCAGTGGGGTTGATGGATGGTTTGTGCCAGGATCAGATAGGACAGGACTGACTGACCGACTGAGTTTGGTTTTACGCCGCTTTTAGCAATATTCCAGCAATATCACGGCGGGGTACACCAGAAATGGGCTTAACACATTGTGCCCATGTGGGGAATCGAACCTGGGTCTTCGGCGTGACGAGCCAACGCTTTAACCACTAGGCTACCCCACCGCCCCCAGATAGGACAGGAGGGATGCCTAGCCTCCCAGAGTCTAAATGATCATCTATGATCATCTATGATCATCTTGGCATCTGCAGACACTTTGGCTGGAGTCCTGGGGTGCAGTTTCTTCGTCATCTTTAGCTCTTGACCATTTTTAACGACCAGAGCATACTTCTCGAAAACTGATGGAGACAAAAGAGCAAGGAGTGTCAACACACTCCCAGTGATCTCCATGTGGATCCTGAAGGGAAATTAATTAAGAACACCAATTCTTTTATGGATTTTTCTGAAAACAAGTACAACATGTGGACCAAAGTAAAAATGATGAGGTTTCATTATTATTGATTTTTATTCAAGCTAAACCTGTGGAATCAGAACAAGTTTCATGAAAAAGGCAATCAAGTGTTAGAGGGATGTATTGGTAAGAACATGTAAGTTTTTAGCTTCATTTGTCCAGCAGTTTCTGAGATAATTATAGATCCAAATTTTAAAGCTTAACACTGAACAAACAGACCAGAATATATACATTTGACAGTTCTCAATTTTTCACCCAAATAAAGTAGTTTGGTTACTAAAATACTTACTCGTCCCTCTGGATTTTTATCTGGATGGTACTTTTGGGCTAACTTGAAGTAGGCCTTTCTGATTTTAGCTTCATCATGTCTGAAAGTAAAATCAATTGGCATTAACATGAAAGAAATTACCTCATAAATCTTAACATGATTTCAAGAAGTTCAACTACACTGAATGAACTAGGGTTTGCAAGTACTTGAAAACTTGTTCAATGGCACATGTAAGTCTCATAACAATTTCTTACATGCTTTTTTTTTAAGTTCCCATACTTACATGTAAAATGACATGACAAGGATTTAATTTAGGAAAAAATATGTAATTTTCTGAATAAAATTGATATTTTATACTTATCCTGACTCATGCTTATTGCTTGTCTCCTTCCTCTTGCAAACGTTAGTGGAACACTTGTATCTTCTATTGAAGCTCCCTTCAATAAAAACAGACGTAAAATCACTACTCACCATTAGTTATCTGTCTGGCCGTTTTGGCGGGAAAAGTGGTGCCACCACTCCCACATGCTTCACTCTCTCCGAATTATGAGCCCGACACTTTAATTTGCAGGGAAATCCAAAGTGTCTAGTGGGGAGGTTGGGAGGGCTTACCTCATGAGTCAGGATAAGTATAAAATATCAATTTTATTCAGAAAATTACATATTTTTCCTTATCCTGACTCATGCTTATTGCTTGTAGAATCCGTCGGATTTGGTGGTGGGTCAAGCTACTTCTGGATTTCATGTAGTGATTTACGTCTTATATACCCCCCTATGAGAACTTCTTGTTGGCACTTCTATTTTACTGCTAGTCTCTGCTGCTGTAACCCTGTACTTCCAGCTGTCTCTGACGGGGGGACCACAATTGTTAACTTTTGGTCCTGGCTTCTGTTAACATTTTATGTGGATTTTGCAACTCCATCTCTTGATGCAAGCATCAAGTGGAGAAGCGACCCTTTCCTGTACGAGTATCCTTCCAAGTACTAGGTCATATCACTTATGCTAGTCTGTCCTTAGACGTGCATATAGACTCTAAAGCTAGTGTAGGCTTTTGCAAGTCATGTGATAAAAGGGCGAGACTTCGTCTCAGCGCCTTTGAGGGACTGTCAATTGTTGTGCAACAACCAGCGGGCCGAAATGGTGAATGCCGGAGACGTCCTCGGTGGCGATGTCCCTCAGGTAATGGTTGGCAAACACCATGTCTGATTTCCAGAAGCAGCCCTCCATTATCGTCCTGATAGAGCAATTCCCACGTAGAGCGAGTGTTGACGCCAGAGCTCTAACTTCGTGTTGGTTGGAGGCTCTTGGAGGATCAAGTCCTGCTGCTTTGTAGGCCCGTAGTATGACAGTTCTGATCCAGATTGATATCCTGGTGCGGGAGACCTCCGTCTGTGTCGCTGTCGATATCGGGACGAAAAGACACTTGAATTTCCGTCTCCTGGTCCTGGATCTTTGTAGGTAGACTTTCAATGCTCTTACTGGGCACAACGATAGGTCCTGCGTATCCTGTGGTCCAAGGACTGATGATAGTGCTGGGACGTGGAATTGTCTGTCCGGTTGACCTGGCAGTTGATTCTTTGCTATGAAGTCCCATCTCAGTCCCATATGCACGGTGTTTTGATTTTCATCAAATCGTGTTCTCTCGAAGTCCAGAGCATGTATTTCCGACATCCTTGCTGCTGTTGCTAAGGCGATCAGGAACAGCGTCTTCTGCGTCAAAAACTCGAAGGATGTCCTCTTTAATGGTTCGTAGACGTCACTGGTGAGATGTCGTAGAACTACGTTGCGGTCCCACTCCGGAGCTTTGAATCTCTGTTGTTGGTCCTCCAATTTAAAAGAGCGTAGTAAGGCCAGTAACTCTGGTACTTCCGTCAGTTTTGCACTCGTCCTCATGGTGATGACTGAGCTCAATGCCGCTAGGTATGTTGAGAGTGTTGACCCTTTTAACCGCTTCGTTTGTCGTAGGTGACAAAGGTAGTCCGCCACTTGAGGGTGTGTCGCCTTTATGGCTGTAAAGCCGGTCCTCGCAGCGTATGTCTCGAAACTTCGCCACTTGTCATCGTACAAGGTGCGTGTAGACTTGCATAGAGCTAGTGTGACTGCTTTCGCTGCTCTGGCGGAATATCCTCTCTTGTTCAAGCACGCCTTGATACAGTCTGCTTTGTGTGAGGATGTACTAGTAGATTCGTCCACTCTGGTAGTTGCAGTTGAGGTTGTCCTAATTCTTGTATGAGAATGGGGAACCATATTCTCGCTGGCCAGTAAGGCACGACCAAAATCAGTTGTAGGTCCTTCGTCTGGCTGATTTTCTGCAACACCCTCGGTATTAGAGCTGGTGGTGGAAACGCGTAAGCGTTTAGTCCTTCCCAGGAGATGCTTAGAGCGTCCGTTGCCCATGCTCGTGGATCTGGTATTGGTGAGATGAATGTTATCAGTTGATTGTTGAATCTTGTTGCGAAGAGGTCTATTAGTCGTGCTCCCATCTCTTGTATGATCTGCTTGAAGATCTCAGGATGTAGCATCCATTCTGTTTGGGATGGCTGCGTTGGACGGGATAGTGCGTCTGCTATCACATTCTTGGCTCCTGGAATGTGGCATGCTCTTATGTGGATGTTCAGGTTGTCTGTTATGCTGAACAGTTGAAAGCAGAGGTCCAGGAAGTTCGCCGACCTTGTTGATCCCTGCCTGTTTATGTAGAACACCACTGTGGAGTTGTCCGTATGCACCATCAGATGAGCATTCTCCAGAATGTTTGTCCAGTGGAGTATGGTGTTTAGTACTGCTTTCATTTCCAGCATGTTGATGTGCAGATCTTTCTCCTCTTTGGTCCATGTCCCAGCTGACACTTCTTCGTCGAGATGTGCTCCCCAACCTTGGAGCGATGCGTCCACGTAGAGATGCATCTTGCACTCCTGCTCTGCTTAATAGGTGCCTACGCAAACATTCGATCTCTGGGTCCACCATAGTAGATATGGGCGTAGTGCGTCCGGGAGTCCGAAGGGTTCCGGGTCGTCCAGATGAGCATTGACGAAGACCTGTAGTGGGCGTAGTTGTAGTCTCCCTCTGGCTGTCATGTCTTACGCTGACGTGAGGAGACCCAACAGACTCTGCCATTGTCGTAGTGGCCACAGAGAGAGTAGAGCTTGCGAGATCGTCTGTTGTATCTTGAGCCATCGGTCCTCTGGTACCACTATGCGGTTCTGTGTTGTGATGAACCGGATTCCTAGGAACTGCAGGTCCTGTGTAGGTTCTAGGTCCAACTTGAGGAGATTCACTAGCCACCCCAGTTGTGTAAGCAGTCTGATGGTGAAGTCCAGTTGTAGTCTGAGATGCTTGGGATCTTGATGTACTTGAATCCCCGTCGTCTAGGTAGAATGCACTGCGTAGACCTCGATGATGTAGGTATGTGACTATGGGCTTCGTCACCCTTGTAAACAACCAGGGGGCCGATGATATTCCAAATGGCAGGACCTTCCATTGGTAGTGTCGTCCGTCCAGTATAAACCTCAGGTACTTCCTTGAGTCCGGATGTACAGGAATATGCAGATAGGGGTCCTGTAGATCTATGCTGGCCATGTAGTCCATCGGACGGACGAGGTGTAGGAGTTGTGGTAGATGTATCATGCTGAACTTTGGTGGTCTGCGTAGATAATCTCTGTTGAATGCCCTCATGTTGTAGATGAGTCGGAACTTTTCTTTGGAGTTTTTCTTTGGCACTTGGAAAACTGGGGAGTAGAATCCTGGTGAGAGCTGGTCCTGGTCCACCACTTCTATGGCTTCCTTCTCTAGTAGAGATGTGACCGCTTCTCGTAGCCTCTCTGTCCGATGGGTCATGAAGTTGAACTTCTGAGGTTCGTCTGTCAACGGCGGAGTTGCTTGTAGTTGTATGCGATATCCGCCTCTTAGGATGCTGGATACAAATGGATCTTGAAGAATTCCCCAGTTCTCCCAGTAGTTTTGTAGACGTCCACCCACTTGTGAAGGTTGTACAGGAACGGCTGAGGGTGGAAGACTCCAGTCGTTCCGAACCCCTCCTTCATCGTCTCTGATCCTTGGCGCCTCTGGGTGCCCTGCCTCGTCCGGGTCTTCCTCTATAGTTGCCGGCTGGGCGATGAAAAGAGTCCTTCCCTCCTCTGAAGGTGCTCATTTTCTTGTCTCTTGCCTTCTGGATGCCTGTGAACTTCGACTTGCCCGAGTAGCTGGGGCGTCTGCCTGATGACACTGGCTAGTGTATCGATGGACTTTATCATGAGGACTTCTCTGGAGTCTTTGGTAACTTCTTTTCGCGGCGTCGTCAATCTCCCCTGCGAAGATGGATGATGTCGACCATGGGGCTCTGTACAGAGACTTCGTGAAGCGTTCGCACCAGTTGCAGGATGCCAGTAGTCCTTGTCGTCTCGCCAACGTCAACGCTGCTGAGATGGATGATAGATGGTCCGTTATAAACTGCTGGTCCTTCTTCTGCATGAGTAGAGCAGAGTAGATCATCCGGTCCTCCTCTGCGGTAGAGTCCCTGAACTTGGCGATGAGCGTCTCATTCACTGCCCTGGATCTGTTCAGGCCGAAGAACATCCTTCTGGACATCGCCTCTATCTGCGCCAGCTTTTTGTTATCAATCTTATAAGACTTGGTCCAGGCGTCGTTGATGACCTTGTAGTTATCATCGATCTCTTGTGCCTTCATGAAGGGGTCCATATTGTGTAGAGAAAACTTCTTAGCGTTGAACTGTGGAATATTCGGCGCCTGGGATTTCGTTGCCTTCCTGAAGGCTGCGTCCAAGTTCTCTGGAACTTCCGAGATGGGATCAATTGGCGGTAGAGTGATCGTGTCGACATCATCGTCCTTCATCAGGTACGTGAGTGCTGCATTCTCTTCCTTAGAGGGTGACGCTAACTCCAGTCCGTTGGCCATCCAATATCTAATCTCTGCGTCCGAGAAGATAATACCGCCATCGTCCTCTGTTTCAGGGGCGCTGATCTGGTATCGTTGATCATCCTCCGCTGGGGATCTGCGTGGCGATCTGCGTGGAGATGAGCCTGTAGAGCTGCGTCTGTGGGGCGATCTGCGTGGAGACCTGCGTGGAGGCGAGCGTCTCTTGGTTCGTGAATGCCTCGGCGAATCCCTTGACGATCTGTGAGATGTTGATGACGTCCTTGAGGCTGTCTCCGCAGACCTTCGCGAAGGCCTTCGTGAAGGCTGTTCATCTGAGTCTTCAATGGAAGGCCTCTCCGATGTGTCGTCGGCGGTGGGTCCTTTGTGCAGGTCCGGATCCTCTCTGTGGGTGGTGTCCAGGGCTGGTTGTCGATCTCTTTCCTGCGCGAAGCGCCTCTCCATCATCTCCATTATCTGCTGTGAGAACTGCTGCATGAAGGCCCCGGGGTTGAATGTCTGCGGTGATAGATGAGCTGCCCTCTCTGCGTTGGTAGCGATATGGTCCAGGGATCGCTCATCTGCCGTCAGTGTAGATACCTCGGACTGCGTAGATAACTGCGCTGATGTTACCGTTGCTGAGGCCTGCTTCTTCTTGGGGCGATGTATCTCCGAGATGATGAGCGGCGGCTCATCATACAGTCCTCTTTCCTCCATCGGGACAATCTCGGCCGAGAAAGTCCTAGTCGTCTGCGCAGACGTCCCCGTAGAGCTGCTCGCCGTCTTAGGGGTGTGTGGCCGTCTCTGCGTCGAGGAGTGGCGGACAACGTCCCACGCCCATCCTCCGAGGACATCTCCGGCGGATCACTGGAAGGAAGAGGGTCGTCTGACAGCAGTTGACACGTGAGAGACTCAGCCGGCTTATCCATGACTTGAAAAAGTTGACTGGATTTGTCTTTAGCACGCCTAAGTACACAGAAAATATATTTATTAAATTCAATATTGGTTAAATGCTGACAAAGGTTGCAGCGAGAGCTGGAAGTACATGGTGTTGTGCAGCTAGGGCACAGTAAATGCGGGTCTGCAGCAGAGAACCTAAACCTACAACGAAAACAGGTTTTCGTGAAATGTAAACAACTGAACAAACACGGACAAAACCGTGAATAAACAGTGAAAAATACGAATAAATTTCAAACCACATTGTTGAAGGATACTGCCTAAACCCCTATAAAGGTAATGTATAGGGTAATAACTAATAAACAAAAGGATATAGTGCCGTATAGAAGACACAGGCGCTCTCCCAACCGTCCACTAGGGCGAAGAAGGAGAGAGTGAAGCATGTGGGAGTGGTGGCACCACTTTTCCCGCCAAAACGGCCAGACAGATAACTCATGGTGAGTAGTGATTTTACGTCTGTTTTTATTGACGGGAGCTTCAATAGAAGATACAAGTGTTCCACTAACGTTCGTAAGAGGAAGGAGACAAGCAATAAGCATGAGTCAGGATAAGGAAAAATAGTAATATTGCATCTATCATAACATTCAAAATTGCTTAATAATGATACTTGAAAGCCCCAAAGTGGAACAGGTGCCATTTGCTATATGTAGAGAACATATATAGTGAAAAGGCTTTGAGGAAAATTCCCAGCTTTTCATGAGATACTGTGCTACATCCAGAGATGTAGCACAACTAGGTGTTTGCATGTATTCATGTGGACACCATCTGGTCATTTACCAGCGGATTCGTGTTCTTTTAAGTGTACAGGGTTGTGTAATGTACACTCTTTTAAGTGTACAGGGCTGGGTACTAGGGGTTTTGACAACACTGAAAGAGTCTGCACACAAAGTTGACTCCAAGGATTTTACACCCGGTGGGCTCAAGCTGGCACCTCAAGCTCGCTGGATCACTAGCCTGGCACCATGGACAGCTCATCCACCATGTCCCATTTTTTACTTCTTTATTTCAGGAAGACATGCCACACTTCTACTAAATGTAATTTGATTGCAGGAGAGACCATCTGATGGACACAGAGTAACATATCATGGATATGAATGCTGCCTGTCGACACACCAATTGATGAAGCTACTCAGACAAGAATACATAATGCCAAAATAAATTTTCTGTTACCCTCCAACTCCCTTCTGAAGATTAAGAACGTCATAAGCTTCATCATTTGACATCGTGGGTGGTTTCTTCTCAACCTCTTTCTTCCATGCATCCAAAATATTCTTCAGGAGTCGAACCTACATAAAACAAAAAGTAGCTTAAATTCAGGATGAACACTACTGACACATTTCCTATAAAAGAACATTAAACATTGAAAGGCTTTCCAGGCTAGAAGCAAATGGCACCAAAGGCACTGTTGCTCACCAGGTACATTCCATGTGAGTTTTTTGAGTAAGGAAATCTTTAACCATCAAGGAGGAGAGTGCAAACTGGCTGTATAATGAGGTCTGATGAAAAAGGACAGTATAATATCCCCCAGACAACAAAACAGTCATGTTAATAGTATCACAATAATTCTGGTAGAGCAGATGGATGCAAGATATCTAATTTTAGCCAAGTCATGTACAACTTGAGAGCAGATGATAGTACCTCCTCAATCTTAATGCCAGAGTTAACTCTGAACCAGGCTGTAGTGGTGCTTCATATCCTACTACATTAGCAGCTCAGTGGCCCTTGTGGTGAATACTATAGACATTTTCATTCTGTATATGATCTGGAGATATTTGTGAAGAATTTTGGGGTTTATTTTGACAGTTGCCTGAAAATGGAGAAGCAGGTCAATGCTGTGTCCTACATGAGAGACAGGGATGATATAAAAGTTCCACTACAGGAAGGGTCTACATGAGAGACAGGGATGATATAAAAGTTCCACTACAGGGAGGGTCTACATGAGAGACAGGAACGATGTAAAGGTACCAGTGTGGGGAGGGTCTACATGAGAGACAGGAACGATGTAAAAGTTCCGCTACAGAGAGGGTCTACATGAGAGACGGGGATGATGTAAAGGTTCCAGTGTGGGGAGGGTCTACATGAGAGACAGGAACGATGTAAAGGTACCAGTGTGGGGAGGGTCTACATGAGAGACAAGGATGATATAAAAGTTCCACTACAGGGAGGGTCTACATGAGAGACAGGGATGATGTAAAAGTTCCGATACAGGGAGGGTCTACATGAGAGACAGGGATGACGTAACAGTTCCACTACAGGGAGGGTCTACATGAGAGACAGGAACGATGTAAAGGTACCAGTGTGGGGAGGGTCTACATGAGAGACAGGAACGATGTAAAGGTACCAGTGTGGGGAGGGTCTACATGAGAGACAGGGAAGATGTAAAAGTTCCAGTGTGGGGAGGGTCTACATGAGAGACAGGAACGATGTAAAGGTACCAGTGTGGGGAGGGTCTACATGAGAGACAGGTATGATGTAAAAGTTCCACTACAGGGAGGGTCTACATGAGAGAAAGGGATGATGTAAAGGTTCCAGTGTGGGGAGGGTCTACATGAGAGACAGGGATGATGTAAAAGTTCCACTACAGGGAGGGTCTACATGTGAGACAGGGATAATGTAAAAGTTCCACTACAGGGAGGGTCTACATGAGAGACAGGACTGACTGACTGAGTTTGGTTTTATACGCTTTTAGCAATATTCCAGCAACATCACGGCAGGGGACACCAGATATGGGCTTCACACATTGTACCCATGTGGGGATTCGAACCCGGATCTTCGGCGTGACGAGCCAACGCTTTAACCATTAGGCTACCCCACCGCCCCACATGAGAGACAGGAACAATGTAAAGGTACCAGTGTGGGGAGGGTCTACATGAGAGACAGGAACGATGTAAAGGTACCAATGTGGGGAGGGTCTACATGACAGACAGGGATGATGTAAAAGTTCCAGTGTGGGGAGGGTCTACATGAGAGACAGGAACGATGTAAAGGTTCCAGTGTGGGGAGGGTCTACATGAGAGACAGGGATGATGTAAAAGTTCCACTACAGGGAGGGTCTACATGAGAGACAGGGATGATATAAAAGTTCCACTACAGGGAGGGTCTACATGAGAGACAGGGATGATGTAAAAGTTCCACTATAGGGAGGGTCTACATGAGAGACAGGGATGATATAAAAGTTCCACTACAGGGAGGGTCTACATGAGAGACAGGGATGACGTAACAGTTCCACTACAGGGAGGGTCTACATGAGAGACAGGAACGATGTAAAGGTACCAGTGTGGGGAGGGTCTACATGAGAGACAGGAACGATGTAAAGGTACCAGTGTTGGGAGGGTCTACATGAGAGACAGGGAAGATGTAAAAGTTCCAGTGTGGGGAGGGTCTACATGAGAGACAGGAACGATGTAAAGGTACCAGTGTGGGGAGGGTCTACATGAGAGAGCAGGTATGATGTAAAAGTTCCACTACAGGGAGGGTCTACATGAGAGAAAGGGATGATGTAAAGGTTCCAGTGTGGGGAGGGTCTACATGAGAGACAGGGATGATATAAAAGTTCCACTACAGGGAGGGTCTACATGAGAGACAGGGATGACGTAACAGTTCCACTACAGGGAGGGTCTACATGAGAGACAGGGAACGATGTAAAGGTACCAGTGTGGGGAGGGTCTACATGAGAGACAGGAACGATGTAAAGGTACCAGTGTTGGGAGGGTCTACATGAGAGACAGGGAAGATGTAAAAGTTCCAGTGTGGGGAGGGTCTACATGAGAGACAGGAACGATGTAAAGGTACCAGTGTGGGGAGGGTCTACATGAGAGGCAGGTATGATGTAAAAGTTCCACTACAGGGAGGGTCTACATGAGAGAAAGGGATGATGTAAAGGTTCCAGTGTGGGGAGGGTCTACATGAGAGACAGGGATGATGTAAAAGTTCCACTACAGGGAGGGTCTACATGAGAGACAGGAACGATGTAAAGGTACCAGTGTGGGGAGGGTCTACATGAGAGACAGGGATGATGTAAAAGCTCCACTACAGGGAGGGTCTACATGAGAGACAGGGATGATGTAAAAGCTCAACTACAGGGAAGGTCTACATGAGAGACAGGGATGATGTAAAGGTACCAGTGTGGGGAGGGTCTACATGAGAGACAGGAACGATGTAAAAGTTCCGATACAGAGAGGGTCTACATGAGAGACGGGGATGATGTAAAAGCTCCACTACAGGGAGGGTCTACATGAGAGACAGGAACGATGTAAAGGTACCAGTGTGGGGAGGGTCTACATGAGAGACAAGGATGATATAAAAGTTCCACTACAGGGAGGGTCTACATGAGAGACAGGGATGATGTAAAAGTTCCACTACAGGGAGGGTCTACATGAGAGACAGGGAATGAGAACATGTAAAGGTACCAGTGTGGGGGAGGGTCTACATGAGAGACAGGAGCGATGTAAAAGGTACCAGTGTGGGGAGGGTCTACATGAGAGACAGGGAAGATGTAAAAGTTCCAGTGTGGGGAGGGTCTACATGAGAGACAGGAACGATGTAAAGGTACCAGTGTGGGGAGGGTCTACATGAGAGACAGGTATGATGTAAAAGTTCCACTACAGGGAGGGTCTACATGAGAGAAAGGGATGATGTATAAAAGGTTCCAGTGTGGGAGGGTCTACATGAGAGACAGGGATGATGTAAAAGTTCCACTACAGGGAGGGTCTACATGTGAGACAGGGATGATGTAAAAAGTTCCACTACAGGGAGAGGTCTACATGAGAGACAGGACTGACTGACTGAGTTTGGTTTTATGCAGCTTTTAGCAAAATTCCAGCAACATCACTGTGAGGGACACCAGATATGGGCTTCACACATTGTACCCATGTGGGGAAGAACCGGATCAGTGGCGATGTAAAAGCCAACACTAACCAGGGAGCTACCCACACATGAGAGACAGGAACAATGTAAAAGGTACCAGTGTGGGGAGAGGTCTACATGAGAGACAGGAGCGATGTAAAAGGTACCAATGTGGGGAGGGTCTACATGACAGACAGGGATGATGTAAAAGTTCCAGTGTGGGGAGGGTCTACATGAGAGACAGGAGGGATGTAAAAGGTCAGTGTGAGGGAGGTCTACATGAGAGACAGGGATGATGTAAAAAGTTCCACTACAGGAGGGTCTACATGAGGAGGGATGATATAAAAGTTCCACTACAGGAGGAGGGTCTGCATGAGAGACAGGGATGATGTAAAAGTTCCACTACAGGGAGGGTCTACATGAGAGACCCAGGAGCATATAAAAGATTCCACTACAGGAGGAGGTCTACATGAGAGACAGGGATGATGTAAAGGTTCCACTACAGGGAGGGTCTACCAGGAGCGATGTAAAGGTACCAGTGTTGGGAGGGTCTACATGAGAGACAGGGATGATGTGAGAGACAAAGTAAAAGTTCCACTATAGGGAGGTCTACATGAGGGAGGGTCTACATGAGAGACAGGATGATGTAAAAAGTTCACTACAGGGAGGTCTACATGGAGGGTCACCATGAGACAGGAGCGATGTAAAGGTACCAGTGTGGGGAGGGTCTACATGAGAGACAGGGATGATGTAAAAGCTCCACTACAGGGAGGGTCTACATGAGAGACAGGAACGATGTAAAGGTACCAGTGTGGGGAGGTCTACATGAGAGCAGGGAGCGATGTAAAAGTTCCCACTACAGGGAGGGTCTACATGAGACAGGGAGCGATGTAAAAGTTCCAGTACAGGGAGGGGTCTGAGACAGGAATGATCATAAAAGTTCCACTACAGGGAGGGTCTACATGAGACAGGGACCGATGTAAAAAAACTGTGGGAGGGTCTACCATGTATAAAGTTTCCAGTGTGGGGAGGGTCTACATGAGAGACAGGGGATGATGTACAAAGGTTCCATGGGGAGGGTCTACATGAGAGACAGGGATGATGTAAAAGCTCCACACAGGAGGTCTACATGAGAGACAGGGCGATCATAAAAGGTTCCCAGTACAGGGAGGGTCTACATGAGAGACAGGGATGATAAAAGTTCCACTACAGGGAGGGTCTACATGAGAGTTCCACTACAGGGAGGGTCTACATGAGAGACAGGGATGATGTAAAAGTTCCACTACAGGGAGGGTCTACATGAGAGACAGGGATGATGTAAAAGCTCCCACTACAGGGAGGGTCTACATGATGTAAAAGCTCCACTACAGGGAGGGTCTACATGAGAGAGGCAGGAGCGATGTAAAGGTACCCAAAAGGTCTACATGAGAGACAGGACCGA